ACACAGACAGGTGTGCAGAGATGCAGATCTTCATACTGGGTTATCTGCTGTAGTTGAGATTATTCCCACTTCATTTAGATTTACACTATCCAAACAAACATTACGCTCATGAATATTTTAGGCGTCATGGCTGACCACTTTAGCTGATCATGAAGAGAGACTGACAAAAACCTTAAATATTCACGACAAAATGACACACAGCTGCTTTCTTATTCATTAATGGGCACCAGAAGGGAGGCTGTTGACGTGTATGTGTATGTGGAAAGTCTTATTAATAATAGTTGATGTGGATTATTAAGTGCAAGCCTCTGCGTGTGTGTGTGTCTCTGGCAGGAGGTGGAATGGGGGCTTATCCGACTGCCTGCTTGGCATGTTGTAAGATGTGTGTTAAGTTTTTCTTCTTTTTTTTAAGGGGGATTCAGAGGGGGGTGTTTAACAGTGCCAATCCCTTCAGCGCTGACTGTCAGTGAAGAGTGGCTGGAGAGTGAGGAGAAATAGGGGAGATTTACAAAGAGGTGGGGGGGATGGTCTCTCCCCCCCTCTCTCTCTCAGGGCAGTTGTTGTAAAGTGATAGGGGGAAGTAAATGGCTCATCAGCGACTGCTTGATTTGGATGTGAGGCAGCAGGGGGCAGCGGGAGGCGAGAGAGAGAGGGTGGGGGGCAGATTACAGCCTTATCTTGTCATAGTAAATTAACACGGTGGCGGAGAAGCGCTCAGCTCCACACTGACCTCTTCATTCTGGCTGCCTCGCCTGCCTGTTTGGCTTTGGCTCGGCTGCTCTACCTGCCCACTACAGCTGCACAACCACACCGAGTGAAAACGGCACCCGCGCATATTTTAAAAGCGTGAAAGGTGTCGGATTATTCACTTTTTTCTCCTTTTTTTTAATGTGTTTTATTCCCCCCCTGCCTGTGAGTAAGAATAGCACTGCTCATAATGGTTTGCAAATGAATGTAGTTTAGCTAAAAAGGGTGTCTTTAAAAAAAAAAAAAAAAATTTATTGAATGCGAACTTCTCGCTACGCAGCTGGACCCTGATTGGGTGGGAGCACCTGAGTTCAAATGCGTTACGGGAAGGATTTTAGTCGGGAGTTCAGCGAGGTCAACCAATCAAATCCAGTTATGACACTGCCAAAATTACAGAGGGAAACAAAAATCTGTGTAAATGTATGTGAAAATTGTAAATGACGACAGGAAACGTTTAAGCCCACAGCCCGCGAATGAGATATTTTTCTCTTGCTTTCTTTCTTTTAGATCTTTTTATGTTTATGTTTGCAGATGCTTGCAAAAAAAAAACCTGTTTTCACATCAGGCAGAGGCAAGCATCTTCTCTCATAAATGTGCTAATGGACAAACACTAATTATTTCATTAACAGGCGAGATGCACGCTTACACGTTAGAAAACTATAAAGATATTTCATCAAGCATAATTTCTTATTCATTTTTCCTCTCTCTCTTTTTTGTCTAATTTGTATGTGTGATTATGTGTGTTCCTGTGTGTGTGTGTGTGTGTGTGTAAATGTGAATTTGACAGATTTAACACAGTCATTGAGCAGTCTTGAGACACAGTGGTCACACTTAATTTCTCATGCCAGTGATGCACTAATGAATCAACACACGCTTGCCTGTCAACAGTGAGAGGTCTTGGTAAAATATACTGGCGTATTTTTTTTTTGCCTTTTTTAGCCAAACCGCTACTTAAAATACAGCTGCAGGTTTTTAGATAAGGAAAGGGCAACTGTGTGCAATAAGACAATTAGAATCAGCAAATTAAAATTTTGTAATTTATTGGCTTTTTTTTTTCTCTTCAGTTTTAGGGGTCAGTCGCATAGCTCAATATTGTTGGAACGCAAGGAGAAAACTAATGCGTGTCGTTGTGTGTTTTCTTGCTTGTCCTCATCCTGAAGGACCCCCCGAGTCACCACTGACAGTGTCTGTGTTTAGCCATGGCATGTAAAGGGATTTGCTGTATCTGAGGTGTGTTAAGTGTATATATTGTGGAGATTGGCAGGCTCTGGCACAGGGTTGAGTCTCGCCCCCCCCTCGCAGGAGCGATCGGTGACATTCTCTCAGTGTGTATTCGTGGGCACGTATTTTAGTTGAGCAGCTGTTTCCAGCTCTTCCTACTGCCACATTGTCCATGCCTTGATCCACGACGACGCGCCAAGCATCAAATATTGTTTTTCACACATACACCTTGCACAGCCCGAGACATGTCAGGCTGTGGCGCAGAAAGAAGAGAGAGAGAGAGTTTCTTCTGTCGGGCAACAGAGAAGGAGGGAGAGAAGAAGACGGAAGGAATAGGAGAAGGAAGGAAAAAAAGAAGAACATGAACAGCGGCATCTGTGCTGGCTGTAGGAAAAAAATAGCATTTGGCAAGAGTTAAGTGTTTTTAAACCAACCTCCCCTCACAGATGAGCTTAAGAAGACAAAAGTTGTTTAATTCGGTTCCATTGCAGAGGCAGTAAAAGGATAAAGAGAGTGGGGCGCAATTTTTACTTTGTTCCAGTCATTTGGAAGAGAATTGACATCTGCAAACTAAAGGCAGAACCGCCCACACTGCCAGCCTGCCACATCCAGTGCATATAAATACATATATGCAGACACTCACACATTTACACACCTACAGGCTATGTGGTGCACTCACAGTGTCACACATATATGCACAAAAAAAAAACCCTGCTCGCACAGACATGCACAGAGAGGAGGGCATGAACATTTACAGTAGCCAGAATTTCTGTTTGCACTCATGAATAAATGCATGCTGATGAGAAAAAGTTTTCGCCACCTGCGTTACTCCGGGATCGGCTGACTGACACCCGTTTACAGCGGAGAATCTGCCTTGTGTCGTGTCTCTTTTTTGATCCCTCTGTCTTGGACTTTGCCGTACAAATCGCCAGCGAGGCGTGTGGATTATATGCCGGGAGGCTGATCGGGAGGTGGGGGGGGGAGAAACATAAGCCATTTAAGTTGCCTTCGGGATAAGGCTGTCTGTCAGAGTTCACACATAAATAATGTCACAGGCCATAATGTACCAGGTCTTTGAAGAAGCCATGGCTCCCTGCTAATTCCCTTTGATTGGGGAAATGACCTTCATTGTTGGACGCAGCGAGATGACATCTCTCTGGCAGCTTTTCGGCAGAGTAAAGAGATCCGACAACCCCTCACCCCCACTCCTCTCCAACTCCATCTCTCCTCCGACCACCCCCCCCACCCCCCACATCTCCCTCTGCATATTCTTGTTCTGTTTGTTTTGTTTGCGCGACATCTTTCTCGAAAGAAAGAGTGCGGCTGTTTTAAGTAGGCGCTGGATTAGATAAATGGGATGTGACAGGTGTGACCGCTGCCTTCAAGATGCCTGCTTTCCTCTTTGCTCTCTCTCTCTCCATGCATCTCTCTGTCAACTCGCACGCTCTCGCTCGCTCTCATTTCCTCTAATAACGCTGCTTCTCTCTTCTTCTTTTTTTTTCTGGGGATTTCGCTCAGTCTTTCTTTCTTGCTTTCTTTGACTTTTACACTCTTACGCTCGATCTCTCCCTCAGTCTCGTTACATTTGCACGTCGTGCCGGCGCTGATGCAACTCCTAATCACAAATCCGCTCATTTTTGAAGTCTGACTTTCCCTAATCTGAAGAACAGCGAGAGGGTGAGGGAACAAAGAGAGGCACGAGCAACTCGGTCAGGTGGTCAGAGGAGAAGAGCAAAGTCTTTCAGGGCTTTTAAAATCACAAGACGCTTGTGACACAAGGCTGTTAGCGGCCTCAGCAGCGACTGACTGAAACCTCATTACCCCGTCATATACAGTATACACAAACGTTCCAACCTTTCATCGCTGTCACAATCTGTCCCTCTGTTACAATGCGTGTGCAAGAACGCCAAGGAGAGGACGAGTGAATTATTGAGTGCGCTGACTTATTCAGAGTGTGGAAACACACAGAGCCCAACACAGAGAGTCAGCGAAGTGTCGAAAATGCCAAGTGATAATGGTCTGCTGTACCTCTCATGCAATGTTTGGCTTCCGACAACAAAAGCATCATCATATTGAAAGCCTCTGCCTGGCTTTATGTGCTTAAAAGGACAAGAAAAAGTAATTTGAGACTTTGTTTTGAGTTTTTCTCTTCTTAAATCGTCCCATTTAAATGCTTTTTTTAATTAAAGAGACAGATCAGTCTGTCTAGACTCTAAATGACTTCACTATGGACTGTGATCTTAGTGTTAAGTTCCACTTCCACCGGCAGCCTGCGAGTTAATGATTAGAAAACCATCTCCACCTTAATGCTCTGTAATGTCATTATTAAAGGTGGAATGTATCACCACCTCCCCATGCCCGTCCATCTCTGTGTCTCTCCCAGGTGCACACCCACACAAAGACAAACACAGGTACGGCGTATGTGTGCCGCTGTCACAGGTGGCGTGCCCCATACTGTAGTGAGATTAGCCAAAGATTAACCCTGTGGACCATTGACCCCACGGAGAGCTGCGCTGACAGACTGCTCGGCTGATCGACTGACTCATTTGTTTTTGTAATTAAACAGCAACACGCACAGTTTACCACACCTGAGTGCGAGTTCAAGAAGGAGCGCACTTCTGTGCATGTAGAGCATACATACCCTCATGAATCCATCTGTGCATGTGACAAAGAGATAACAGCGTTCCCTCTCGAAGCTGACGGCATCCTCACTCTCGGTGTCACCGCTAATTGGGCTGAGCCGGCGTTAAGTCTGTAACGCCGCCTGTAGAAACAAACACAGGTTTTATGGGGTCACAGATTAAGATGCTAAGAGTTACTTAGCGCTCGGCTACTGTCCCGAGGCTCGTTGTTCATGTTTGAGCTTTCGTTTTGAAAGGGGACAATAACGTCCGTCCTCAGACTCGCTTATTTAAATGTAAATAAGTGCGTTTGAGCTGTAAGTGGTCAGAAATTTGGCACTGAAAGTTGATGCAGATTTCTAAAAATAATAAGAAAACAATAAGAAAAACAATGTTTAGTGGAAAGAGGTCAACTTGTTCTTCTGCGAAAGTCCACTTTTCAGCCACAGTCATTATTTCCAAGCATCATTAAACTAAACGTGTTGGCAATAGAAGAGAGCTTTACTGTAAGCTGTATACGTTATAATTAGTTGCTGACATGCTGATTGTCTTTTCTCCTACAATGATGTTTTTTGCCCTTTCAGTTCTTTATGAGTTTAGGGGAAGGATTTGACCTCACAACAGAGACGTTTTTGGAGTTTTTTTATCTCTGAATTTGACGGAGTTGCATCCTCAGCATTAATTTTTGAAAATCTTTGGACAAAAGTAAAGCAGCGCTGAAAGTTGGGCTTGGAATTTGTAGCATTGGACATCCCTCAAAGGAAGCCATTGAAGGCTTTGTAATGAAGAGTTAGCGTGACACTTAAAGAGTGTGCAGTCTTTTACTGTTTCATGTGCTCGTTCTGTCAAGTACCTCCAAGTCAGTCAAATGCAGATTCCAGAGGATCTGAGAGAGAGAGAAGTAGTATGCCCTAACTTGAGATAACTGGACAGGGATGAAAGTTGTTGCTTTGGGGTATAAGAACAGGAGATGTAGAAAACAGGAGCAAGAGTAGAGAAGAAAGATGGAGATAATGAATGGGTTTATGCCAGCTCCTCCCTCGTTTCCTCTTAATTTTCTTTCTCTACGGTTTGTTTGTGTCTTTAAAATCGCTTTTTTGAAGCTAAGAATTGATTAATCCCTATCCCCCCTCTTCTTCTTTCCTCTCTCCAGGAGCAGGATGGCACTAAGGGGAGCTCCCTGAGTCCTTACCCTCAGCACAATGCTACCTCACCAGGCAAAGAAGAGGGCGGAGGCGGGGGGCGCCTCTGCAGCGACGGGGGCTCGGCCGCGGGCACCCTGGGCACCCCCGAGAGACGCAAGGGCAGCCTGGCAGACGTGGTGGACACACTGAAACAACGCAAGATGGAGGAGCTGATCAAAAACGAGCCAGAAGGTCAGCGATGAAAGGAAACGCTTGTTACAGCCAGATGTGTGATCTGCAGGTCCCCACCATCTCCCTGGCTCTGCGCCCGACTTTTATTACACTCTGTTGTCGTTTCCCTCTTCTTCTTCATCTTCTTTCTTTCTGTCTTATTTTCTTTCTCTCTCTCACTCTTTCCCTCTGTTCTGAACCCACACACATTCAGATGAGAGGCGAGCCTTTGTTTTTTTTTCCAGCATACAGACAGACAGCATTGGCTGCTTGGGCCTATTGTCCACCGTGCCTTGCATATTTATCACAACCTGACAAATAAGATGCGAGCGTGGATGCACATGCTTGTGTGAGTAGTGTGCACTGGAGCGAGTGCGAAAGGCCTCCAAACATACTTTAGTAGATTAACAAATCACCAAATGTTTCCCTGCTTTAATTTGAAGCAGTTACTTAAAAATTCTCTCAGCTCAGTGATCATCTTATCACCTTTCTTAGTCATTTTGTAACATGTTCTGTTGGATACAGATTCCAAACATTGTTTTTCTGCAGGGCCTCCATAGTTAAGCTTGATTAGCCCCCACATTTGACTCTCAAATATATCCTCAGGCTAAACAGTTGGAGTCTAGAGAAGATAAAGTTAGCCCACTAATGTCCACTGCTCCCACAAATGGGGGCTTAAGTCACCATGAAATGCATTTAAGAGATAATGTGACAACAGGTGTCCATCCCCTTTAGGAAGATGTGCTAATATAAATAACAGGTTACTGTATTGGTGGGGATGCTTCACAGAGAAGTCAGTGTCAACTTTAGAGGATATACTGCACCCCTAAGAAATGCAGCTTAGAGCCTGCAACATGTTGGGGTCCTACCAAAACCTGTTGTGCAGGAAAGTCCTTTCTAATTAACCCGAATCGATCCTGATTGAGGGAGACGAGTTGATTAAGAGTCAGTTTCCATCAAAAACAAAAACAGTTTGTCAGAGTTGGACATGATGTTGCTATGATGTCACCTGTTGGTCTCTGGACTGAATGTTTTGCGTTGTGGCTTCCAGTATGCTTGTTGTTTTTGGAGCCGAAAGTGATATTTAGGCGAGAGTGAAGCGTTAAGTTATCAGCTAAGTGTAGTCAAGTTTGTGAGCAAGCTGCTTCCTTAAGCAAAACGGACGCAAAGCCTTAAAAAAAATCCAAACAGGTGGGTTTTAAAAGAAATGCACCCTTCATATAGATGTTACAATTAGGGGGAACGATCCGTGGATGCAGTTTATGTAGTGTTTTATCATCTATTGGGGATGGACGAGCTTTTGGACCCAGCCTGAAGTGGTCGCTGGAGAACAGCTTTCAAGTCTGCAACGCGTTAATATTTGTACATCTCTGACCAAGCAGCCTCAAGCTCACATAACAGCATACCCAAAAGGTGAAAAAACAGCTCAGTGGTGCAGTGTGGATTTGCCTTTAAAGTGTAGGTGCATTATGTGTTTGTATTCCGCCAGTACATCAACAGGCTTTCATTTCAAGCTGCGATGCACTAACCTTATTTTCCAGGCTTTTCTGCCGAGTTTTCAAAAGGCCGAGACTGCTGGTCAGCTCTCGCTGTCTGGTTGTTTTTATTCCAGTCGATAGAGAGGCCTGTTGTGGCACATTTTAAGGAAAAAAAAAAAGGAAAGAGAGAAAAACTGAACTGTTTGTTGAGCCGAGCTGTAATTGAGGTGTGTTTTGGGTTGTTCGCTGCTTCACTGGACCTCGTGAACTGGCTGCACAGGAAAAAAACCAACAATAATGGATCTTTATGAGTCAGCCAGCGGAGAGTGAGAGAAGGAAGAGACAGAAGGTGAAGGTAGGGAAAGTGAAGAAGAGAAAGACCAGTGTCTTCACAGACCCCATTAGCACAGTGCCACAGCGGAGCAGCATCCAAACCGACCTGGAGCATTAGCTTCTCTATGTTTAAATGAGACGCGCTAACAAAAGGCCCGAGCGCCTCAAGACCCGGCACGCACACACAAACCCGGGCTAAAGAAAAAAGAAAAGAGAGCAAAGGAAGAAAAAGGAGGCTGAGAAAAGATGAAGAGAGGCAGAGGGAAATGGAGGAAGTGGGGGGGGGACGATGAGGGGCAGTATTGAACGTGAGATAGAAATCCCTTTTCTGTGTTCTGTGCCCGGCTAGCTATTGTTTGGCTGTGTGGCTCACAAAGGCCATTAGCAGCAAACAGCAGGTTGGGATGAAAATTTAATGAAGGCTTTAATCATTATGAAAGGCCTGGAATATTACTGCTCTCTCTCTCTCTTTCACACACACACATACACAAAGCCTCCAGCTGGATCAATGAGACACACACACATTCATAGTGTACGAACATTGACACCAGGAGGGATGTGAACAAGGGGCCAGGGACACAAAATGGGTCAGAAAACGATAAACATCTTGAAACAGAAAGAGGGGCTTGACTTATCGAAGGCAGGCCCTGAGCTCTTTAGACATCGCACACACACACACACAGACACACAGACAGTCACGCTCACTAAGAATGCCTTAAGTTTGAAAGATTTAGTTTTGTGTCTGTGGCTAGTGCTGCTCTACTTAGGCTAGATGAATGGAGATAGTGGATACTAGGTCAGTGTGAGTGCTGTTAAAGCCTTTGGGAGCACATATACTTGCGCATGTGCATTTGCATATGTATTTGTGGCAGAAAGTGTGTGTGTGTTCGCTGTGGGAAGGATTGCATTTGGTTGCATACATGTAAGGTGTGTGTGTTGGCCTCTAATAAATGACTAGCCATGTTGTCCCCCATGGCCTGGCCCAACCATGCTCCACCGCTCTCCTGCTCTCTACATTCATCTCCTGTCTTAATCCACGGCCACCTGCTACCCGCGAGATACTCACACACACACGCGTGCACACTCTCTCAAACACACCGCTACAAAACATGTGCAAAGACACACACACACAGACACACAGCGTTCTGTCTTTAATAAATTCTTCAGCAGTGACAAGGCGAAGATAAAAATGCCATGACAAAGCGTGCATGCATGTGCGTTCCTGTGCGTTGAACTCGATGCGAGAGGCAGTCAGGCAAGCGGCTCGTGCTGGAGCGTGCGCGTTGTGCCATTACGTGGAATTATGAGTGCAGAGTGCAGAGCATGGCAGGAGGCTCGGGGTCAAGAGGAGACGCGGTGCAGAAACCCAAGAGAGATGGCTGCACGAGCACACGCATGCACACCTGGACAGCTACCTCGGAGTCATCATTTAACCTTTTGTGACCCATACACCACAGAGCAACCCCCAGTGATAACCTATTAGCCCAGTCAGACAGACAGACAAACAGACAGAAGTTATAAGCTGCAAAAAGAAAAATGAGGGGAATTAAAAAGAGGAGTAACATCACTAAATGGGGCACAGATGTTCCTCTCGGCCCCTGGAGTGGTGCCTCCACTGCCCTGGACTTTCACCAGACACTCAGCCTCCTCTCCTCTCCTTTTCTCTCCTCTCTTCTCCTCTCCTCGTCTCACTACATGGCGGCACGGACTGTAAGTGGCTCGCACATTAAGTGCCAGCTGAGCTCCATCTCTGGACCCGTCTGTTGACCCTCTGCTACCCAGCTACAGCTACCAGTCACTGGGGCTTCATAGCCTTTGGGATTGGTTTTTTTTTATGTTTTTTTTTTCTTTTTTAGCTTCAGCTGTTACAGGGATAAACAAAGCTTCCCAGCCTGAAGTCGCTCAGAAAATCTGCTGTATGTGTTTTTTGGTAGATACAACTTTCGACTTTGTATTCAGCTTAAATTCTGTTGCAAAAACTGAGACCCAGTTACTCAGAAAAGTCAAAAATCTTGTTGCAAATAGTTTAATGTGGACAGTATTTACTTTTTACAGTCTATGAACAGTAAAAGAAGCAAAGAGCACAGGTGAGGGAGACACCATTAATGCTTACATCCTGTCACACCATCTCAATGTTTCGCCAGGTGTAGTTTTCTAGAATGAAAATTGTCCCGACACGAATGTGATTACACTATAACAAGGCTCAAAGCTGTTCTTTGAGCAACCACCTCGTTATATTACGTATATCATTAAAATGTATTATTATTATTTCAAGAAAAAAACATTGTAGCTTACTTTTATAGGTACTTGGTGCTTTGGACACCTCAGGGCAAGTCCTGTTTCATTCCATTACATTTAAGAGAAAGCAGATGTCTCCAAAACTGGGCAACTCACACCACAGCAGTTTACATGGATAAATAGCACCACAGGCCAGAGGAAAGCTATGTGAATTAAATTCTGGGGTGAGCTGTCCGTTCAACTTAACAACATTTAGGCATTTTAGCATTTGAAGATTTGAGAAAAACAAGAAGTCTGCAGGAAACTGGATTCTTAGTGTGACGCTTCCTTTCCTTCGTACCACTTGGGAAAGAGTTTTGTACTAGTTTGAAAGTGAACGTTAGCATTTGCATAAAAGAAAAATGTACCTGAGTCTACTGCCATCGATATGAATGAGAGTACAAGCAATAATACTGTCCTGTATTTGATGTATGCGTCTCTCCTGTCAGAGTCTTTGTCGGGGTCAGTAAATGGCAACGCTGTCGTTTCAGCGAGCCAGCGTGCATGTTCGAGGTCAGAGCCTCGCCGCTCTTCTTTATCACCTAATTTTGTACATACGTGCACAGAAACAAGAGACGCACTCGTCCCCACGCACTTGTAACCTTGCACGCCGGTCTGCAGCCCTGCAACCTTAAGGTCAACCAAAACGGTATTTCACTGCTGAGCGTACTCGCCGCCCCGAGCTCCTCGAAGGCACAGGTTTCCATACTGAAAATGCCAACTCAGTGACAGATGTCATGCAGCACACAGTCACCGACACATGCTCGCACATGTACACGCAGCACTTCATCTATTTTCGAGACATGGAGGGGTACCAGGGGCTTGCTTTTAGAGAGCACTGAGGCATTTTATAGGACAGCACTTAGGCGAGGCCATTGTGCCACACAGGCGCACAGTGGCCGGAGCTCCCTCACGCCTGCGTACACTCCAATG